ACCAAGACCATACTTTTTTGATTACTTAGCTTTAGATTGAGTTTTCAAATTGGTTAGCATTGAGCCCTATAACTGTTCTTCCTTTAAAAATTATTTTGGTTATTCAAAATAACTAAATTTGGTTTTCATATATATTTTGGAACCAGCTTGCCAAACTCAAAAAATAAAATCTTGCTGGGATTTTGATTATTGTATTAAATCTAAAAAATCAGACTGTGCCCCATAGGATTGCCAGGTAATATATAGGCCACCGTATTAAATTTGAGTTTCAGATAAACAATTTTTGGTAAAATTATGTTTCCAAATATTACATGGTACATTAACTACACTTAAAAAGTATTTGTCATGAAAAGATGTTGAAATTTGTTGAATGCTTTTTATGAATCAATGATACAAACATTTTTTTCTTTAGATCATTAATATGGTGAATTACATTGACTGATTTTTAAAATATCAAATTAGCCTTAACTTCCCAGAGTAAGTTCCATTTGGTAATGTATTCTTATTTTCACATATTGCTGTAATCAATTTGATAATATTTTATTGAAGATTTATGTATCTATATTCATGAGGGATATCAGTCTAGATTTTTTTCTATTCCTATTTTCTAACTTAACTGTGCTTAAAATTTTCCTCTAAACATTACTTTAGCTGCAGAATTTTCATTTAGTTCTAAAATATTTTCTTTCCCTTGATATTTTCTCTTTGATCCAAGGATTATTTATAAGTATTATTTAGATTTTCAAGTTTGGGGAAATTTTCCACATATATTTCTGTTATTTCTAGTTTAATTACATTATGGTCATAGAACATATTTTGTATTATTTCAATTATCTTGAATGTAAATTAAATGTAAATTTAAATTAAGAATTGTTTTGGGCTGGGGATATGGCTCAAGCGGTAGCACGCTCGCTTGGCATGCGTGCGGCCCGGGTTCGATCCTCAGCACCACATACAAACAAAGATGTTGTGTCCGCCGAAAACTAAAATGAATAAATAAATATTAAAATTCTCTCTTTCTCTTTAAAAAAAAAAAAAAGAATTGTTTTAAGATCTGGGATATAGACCATCTTGGTAATGGTTCCAAGAGCACTTAAAAATACTATATAGTTTCTTGTTACTGGATGGAATAATTTATATGGGAAATTAATAATATATGGGAAATTAAACCTAGTTGGTTGATAATATTCAGGTCTTCTATATCCTTGCTGATATATTCTTTCCACTTGTCTATTAATTATTAAAAAGGGAGCTTTGAGGTTTGCAGCTACAATCATGTCCATTTCTTCTAGCAGTTTTATCAGGTTTTGCTTTATGTATTTTGAAACTCTGTTGTCAGGTTCGTATACATTTAGCATTGTTATGACTTCTTGGCAAATTGACTCTTATATCTTTATGCCTGATAATTTTACTTACATTAACATCTAATTTGTCTGATGTTAATATTGGAACTCTAGCTTGGTTTTCATTTGTGTTGACAAGGTATGTCTATTTCCATCCTTTTTCTTTAGTCCATCCTTAGTATATTTTGTGTAAGTTTTTTTGGTAGATGACATTTAATTGAATCTTGGAAGGATATGAATGTGTGTACATATTCATTCTCCAGTTTGGCAATCTTCATCTTTAAAGTATTTTATTTAGATTATTTACATTTAATATAATTGCTGGTAAGTTTGAAAGTTAGGTTTATAATTTGTTTCATGGTGGTTCTTTCTGTTTTTTTATTCTTCTTTTTCCTCTTTCTTGACTTTTTGACATTATTAAAAACTTTTTTATAGAACTCATTTTAGTTTATCTCTTATGGTTTTGAATACATCTTTTTGTATAGCATTTTAGTAGTTGCTCTAGTTATTATAGCACATCATTTGAATTTTACAATTTATGTTTAGGGAATATTTTACCACTTCAAGTAGAATGTGGAAACCACAGACTTATGGAGGTCCCTTTCTTCTCCCCTTATGTTTTGGTTGCTTTATGTGTATGTTATATTTATGTGCCTTGGAAACATCTCAAGACAATATTTTAAGTTTGTTTTTTAACTGTCCTGTGCGGTTTTCAAAAAATTTTAAAAATATTTTTAGTTGTAGATGGACACAATAACTTTATTTTGTTTATTTTTTTTTATGTGGTGCTGAGGATCGAACCCAGTGCTTCACATATGCAAGGCAAGTGCTCTGCAACTGAGCCACAACCCCAGCCCTGTCCTGTGTGTTTTAAAGAACTTCACAAGAGAAAAATTGTCTTTTATATTTAGATTTTTACCCTTTATGTTACTCTTCATTGCTAAACTCCTAAGTTCCCTCTGGTATCATTTCCCCTTTACCGGAAACAATTCCTTTAGGTCTTTTTGTTTTGTTTTGTTTTGCTTTTTTTTTCCAAATATTTTTAGTTGTTGATGGACCTTTATTTTATTTATTTACATGTGGTACTGAGAATCGAACCCAGTGCCTCACACATGCTAGGCAAGTGCTCTACCCCTGAGCTACAATCCCAGCCCTTGTTTTGCTTTTTTAATCAGAGCTGCAGGTGATAAATTATATCAATTTTCCTGCATCTGACACTATCTTCATTTTACTTTCATTCCTAAAGTATATTTTTGCTGGACAGAGAATTCTTGGACTGATAATGTTTTTTTAAACTTTTAAAATGTTCCTTCACTGCACTGTGACCTTCATCATTTCTGATGAGGAATTCAGTCATTAGAATTGTTGTCCCTTTATATGCTATGTACAAATTCTTCTGGTCCTTTTCAAGATTTTTCTTTGTCTCTGGTTTCAGTGCTTTGCTTATGCTGCATCTCAGAAGGAACTTCTTTGAGTTTTCCTATTTGGACTTCACTGAGTCTCTTGAATATAGGGGTCAATACCTTTCTTAAAATTTTGAAAGTTTTTAGCCAATTTATTTTTTAACATTTTTTTTTTAATTTGAAAAATTTGAATATGGAAACAATTTTTTTCTATCCCACTATCTTTCTCCTTTCTTTCTGGAAATATTAATATTTTAAAAAAATAAAATTCTAGCTTTAGTAGATTGCATGGTGGCCCCCCACAAACGTGTCCACATCTGAATCTCTGGAAATTAATCCCTGGATTTATGACTGCTACTTTACTGGGAAGAGGGATCTTTGCAGATAAAATTAAGTTAAAGATCTTGAATGAGGAAATTGTCCTGGATTATTGGTGCAGCTCCTATATTTAATGCCAGATATTCTTATAAGTGTAAAGCAGAGAGAGAGAGAGATTGATACCTACACAGAGGAGAAGGTGTTTGAAGAAGCAGGCAGAGATTGGTGATGAGGCCACAGGTCAAGGAAGTCAAAAGTGCTGATAGCCAACCCGAAGTGTGAAGAAGCAAGGAAAGGTTCATTCTGAGAGCCCTTGGGGAAATATAATCCTGATTTTGAACTTCTGTACCCCAATTTGAAAGAATTGGGTGTTTTTTTGTTTTGTTTTGTTTTTTGTTTTTTGTTGTGTTGTTTTAAACCTCCTATGTTGTGATAATATGTTACAGCAGCAACAGCAATCTAATACAGGGATTTACTGGTTGCTAAAAAGAAAAAAAAAAAGGAAACTAGGGGTCAGGAAGAATGCTCACAGACTCTACAAATTTGCTGATGGTTAGTCTTTTTTCAGAGTCTCAGCTTTGGCCCTGAGTTAGCCAGTTAGCCTGTGCCTTGCTCCATAGTCAAAGAACAACTCATAAATCCTCTATTCACACATTTTATCCTGATCCTCACTGTAGAAGTTGCTCCTTGAAGTGGTCATTATCTTTTATGTGCATGCCCTTAGACCCAAGCAATCCAGATAAAACAGTTTGGTGGATTATTCAGTATATATTTTTCTCATCCCTGGGGATACAACACATAGGAAGAATTGTACCTAGAGGTACAATTCTATAAGAAGAAGAGTACATTTGGTAAATTCACTCCCCCAAGTGAAAATGCCCAGGTAACTTGACATAATTGGAGACTCTGGCAGAATCTAGGAACAGAATAAGTTTGGGACAAAAGAACTAATATATTTTTGTGCAAGTAACATAGCCAAGACCCGCATTAAGTAAAACATACATGATTTCATTCAATTCCTGCAAGAATCTCATAAAGTCAGCAGTAGTAGTATTCTGTTTCATAATCATGGAAACTGAGACTCAGAGGAGACATAACATACCCATGATCTCACAGCTTATAAGTGATGGAAACAGATTCAAGGTGTTCTAGCTAGCTCCCAAACCCATGTTTTCTGCATTAGGAATTGCTACCTCCCAGTTCAAGCTAGGAAACACTCAAGACTGAGAGCAAAAGATGGATGAGGGAAGCATCAGGTCCAAACCTCTGTCACTCTTTCCTCACAGACAGAAGGAATGTCTGTAGAGCCCCTGGGAGGGGGGGGCGGGAAACCCTGATGCAGTGGTACTGGACTGATTGTTTTAAATAGAAATGCCACTCTGAGAATGAAATGACACTTTAACGTGGCTCACTGGAGTCCTGATTTCAGGTCCTCTGGGACCACTGGTCACTCAAAATGAAAAGACAGCAAGTGTGTTTGCCTACCTAGGCCTATAGAGCTTGTGTCTGACCAGGTCTGGATAGAGCCAAAAGTGTAGGTATGAGCCAAAAGTTAATTTAAAAAGAGGGGCTGCTCTTGACCTTTTCTCTTCTACTTCCCCACACCCCACTGCATGCTTCCTAGGCCTGCAGAACACAGTGTCTTGGAAAAGATGTGCTCGTCCTGTTCTTATGAGGCCATTGGCTCTCCAGAGAGGTAGAACTAGGAACCGAGCCAGACTTTTCCTTTCCCTCCAATCCTTCTAAGAAATTTCCCAGTAGGCAGTAGGCAAACTTTTTAAGAGAAAAAGGTTAAGCTTATCACAGGAATGTAAGGTTTTAAACCCCAAGTTTCTGGTGATCCTCTCATAGCCCACAGTTGGGGAAAAGTACGCTTCCTCCTCACTGGCTCACATCTTCCTTAGTCAGTAATTTTCCTTTTCCAGGAAAGGAAACTGTCCAAGTATCCAATTTCCAAATCAAGCAATCAAGGACTTGTTCCTGCAGTTCAGAAGCTAGGAATTCACATCAAGACCGGTCTGTGCCTCACTGGTTTGTTTGCTCTGATTAGCTTTGAAGTTTACCAGACTCTTCTGGTGACCCCCGCCCCCAGCAGGATCTATTTACCTGCAGTTCACCTTTCCTGTGGTAGTTTTCTTAGAACTTGGGTATGATCCAGGTCCCCGGTCCCTGCCTGTGTGATTGGGAATGAGTCACTCAATGGCTCTGAGTCCCAGTGTCCTCGTCCCACGACAGGCGAGTCATCCCTGCCTCCTACTCACTGTTGGTCTCAGACCAGAGGAGGTTGTGAAAGTACACTGATAATTCTCGAGGCTGGTGTGGATGTAAATAACATCTTTGTGCAAATCCTTGGCCCCCCAAGCTGACATCTGCTTTTGTTCAACATTTCAGCAGAGAAAAGAGAGCCTCATCTCCAAGCGTTCATGGTTTAATGTAAGAAAACAATTTCTTTATATTCATTTAAGATGAGAGTATAGCTCCAATCCTTACCCAGTTACAGCCTTAGGCTGTCCATAAGGAGAATCCTCTCATGTAGGAGTCTCCATAGGAAAGATTCCACCAGCATCATCAAACCTCTGCTGGTTCTGCTAATACCTTCTCATGTGGGTCAGTTATGACTTTTAGAGAATGACCCCTCAATGAGAATCCCAACATACTTCCACCAGCATTTTGCTTGCTAGAGTCACAGAGAAGGTCTCCCACCCAGTCATCAGCTGAAAGATGCTGGAATATAGCACCCAGTCCTCATAAGAGCTGCCTACTCCAACAAAACACCTCTGGAGCATTCCACACATCACAGGGTTTCAAACCCTAGTGATTCTTGGCTGTCCTTCTTGGGACACACTAGATTTGTCAGTGTCCCTTCAAATATGCACCTTAGGGACTGGGATTGTGGCTCAGTGACAGAGCACTTGTCTAACATGTCTGAGGCACTAGGTTCCATCCTCAGCACCATATAAAAATAAATAAGTAAAATAAAGGTATTGTGTCCATCTACAACTAAAAGAAAAATTTTTAAAGAAAAGTATGCACTGTAGTCTTCTATTACTATGAAATAAATTACCCTAAATCCTCACGGCCTAAAGCTAGCAGTGTCTATTATGTTTCTTAGAGTCAGGAGTCCAGGGATGGTTGAGTTGGTAGTTCTGCTCTGCATCTTTCACGAGGTCCCAAGTGTCCGCCTGTTTGGAATTAGATGGCAACCCAACCCAACCCAACCCACAGGGCCCATCAGGTTATAATCAAATTGCCATTAACAGAAAATAATTTAGAGATCAATAAATGCAATCTCCTTATTTTAGGAAAGGAAAAATAAAATGAAGTACATTGCGCAAGGTCACCAGGTGTTGCTAGAAACAGGATTGGAATCCAATTCCATTCAACATTATGCTCATCGCCTCCATAATGGGTCGCACAGAGAATGGCGAAGGGAAGCACCATGGAGGTCACAGCAGGTAGGTGTCTCCCTGGTTCTTTTCCCCACAGCCTAGGTAGAGCACGACATTGATGGCAAGCCTGTTCTGGCTCTTTCTGATCCCCTCCTTTTCTTTAAATTAAAAATAAAATATGTGACATTTATATTCTTTAAATGTTAATAAACCATCTGTTTAATATGTATTCTAAACCTTTGGGAGGATGGCAAATCTTATAAGCCTGTATTTCCTATAATCTATATTTCCTACCTTTGTAAAATTTTTTAAACAGCTTTTATTATTTATTTATATATTTATGTGGCTCTGAGGATTGAACCCAGTGGTAGGCGAGCACTCCACCACTGAGCTACAACCCCAGCCCCTGTAAAATTCTTTCGCCCTGTCTGGAACGGTGGCATGTGCCTATAATTTCAGTAACTTGGGGGCACCGAGGCAGGAGGATCACAGGTTGGAGGCCAGCCTGGGCAATTTAGCAAGACCCTGACTCAAAATCAAAAATAAGAAGGGCTGGGATGTAACTCAGTGGTCAAGTGTCTCTGGGTTCAATCCCCAGTACTAGAAAGAAAAGAAAAAAAAAATCTTTAGCAGCATCTTCAGCCCCCTCTTCTTTTCTTCATTATTTCACAAAAATTCCCAAGAATGCTTCTGTCACTTGGTGTTTATTTGTTTTACGGCTGTGGTTTGTATTTGTCCAAACTCAAGAGATATTGACTCCTGTAAATTGTCTAAGATCATTTAACTATTTTTTTTCCTATGTCAGACTTCATGGCATTTTTCTTATACTTTCCAAGTTGAAAGTATAAGAAAGCATAAGAAAATTGAAAGAAAGTTGAAAGTATAAGAAAATTCTTAGAGGAAAAAGAGGCAAAATATGGATTATTGTGTTTTTTTCTTTTAACTATCTACAGTTTATTCACTGTCTTTTCCAAAGAACAATTTATTCCTTCTCCACTTTCTGACTTACAACATACATGTTAAAGCCCTGACTTCACTACTCTGCCATGGAATACTATTCAGCCAGAAAAAGAAGGAACTAACTTAGATAATGATGTGGAATAAGTTCAGGGTATATTGTTGAATACAGAATCATAAACATCAGATACTATCTTCTGTGCAACATTGGAACAAATGAATATAGACCAAAATTCATTGATTTCAATATGTACATATTTTTACATTTTTGATGTTTCTGAAATTAGAATGTGCTATTTTTCCATAATAAATAGCATGTCATTGTTTAATTGGCAGGCTTTTTAAAAATGGCTTTATAATAATAAAAACAATAATGGTGCATCTTGTAATTGATGGCATCTTAGGTTTGATAAAATAAATTATTTGCCCATTTGTTTGTATAAGCATAGAATTTTCTCTGAAAAATGTCTCAAGAGCCAGGCATGGTGGCACACACCTGTAATCCCAGCATTTTGTGAGGCCGAGACAGGAGGATCATGAGTTCAAAGCCAGCTTCAGCAAAAGTGAGGTGCTAAGCGACTCAGTGAGACCCTGTCTCTAAATAAAATACAAAGTAGGACTGGGGATGTGGCTCAGTGGTTGAGTGTCCCTGAGTTCAATCCCTGGTACCAGAAAAAAAAAAGAAGAAGAAGATTCTCAAGAAACTAGTAAAATAGATTGCTCATGGGTAGGGGAACTAAACTATATTGTTGGGGAACAGAGGTGACAGAATTTCTGTTTCATTTCCTTTGTATTTTTTTACATTTTGAATCATAATATTATGTTAACAAAACATTTGAACAATGAATTCAAATTTTAAAGGTAAGACTGGATGTGAGTTGTTTGGATACCCCTACTTCATGCAGATCTGTACATAGTTTTCTGTTCCTTCCTAGAAATTGCCAGAGAGCACTGGGAAGGTAGAATTGTGCCTTTATGTGTCCTGCTCTTTATCCAGAGTCCAGCACGGTGCCTGGTCAGGGACTAACTCCAACTGATATTGTTTATTTCTCCCAAGGTGTCGGTCACTTGTAAATCATTAGCCAGATCCTTTGTTGGGTTAAAATTTAGTTCAATATAACAGTTTCTCTCATTATTGCCTTTACCTTCCTGTTGATAAAATTTTTCCATAAGGCAAGGCATAAATATATCTGATGTTCTGCTTTTATTAGATTTTGGCTTCCAACACAACCATTGAGCAGCATCTAGGGAATGAAGAGAAAAACATCTTTAAAAGACAAGAAAAACAGTTTAATTGGTGCCAATGCACTTGACAATAACTGAGTTACCATGATAGCTCACACATGGTGTTTGCTAAATGAATCAGGAGGTGACTGCAAGAAGGGACTAGAGGATCTGGCAGTTATGCATGTCACTAAAACACTATTGCTGATTCATTCCTGTTGATGATATTTAGAAATGAAAATACACACTTTTCAGACCATTTTAAAGGTTATATGCACACAAAAAGTCATATTAAATCACAAGTAAGCCAAATCAATCCAAGAAATCCTGAGTGGTACAGAATAACCGGTAACAAGTGCAGAGCTAACATATCAGGCCTCTTCCAAAAAGTAGTATTTTTAGGGCCAGAGTTTTCAATCTTGACAGAGATGGAATCCAAGCCAATGCTGGCTGGGTGTGGAAAAGGGCAGGTTCCAGGGTGGTTACCATCTATTCCTGTTGGCATTTGTGGTTCATTCTTATCAGTAGGCTGGTGCAGGGTGAAGCAAGCTTACCACCCAGGAGTAAAATGAACGGCTTTTGTGGTTTATGTGTTGGGGTATTACAATAACAAAATTTCTAGAATTAGGACAGACCAGAACTTATATAAATTTACTCTTGAGTAACACTGATAATTTAATGTGCAACTAACATAAAACATTTCCTTTAATTACTTCTCAAATTAAAAAATAGACAACTTGTTCCAGTCTATGGTATAGAATTATGTGGTTTTCTTATTCGAATACCAGATCTTAAGTATTTATTGCTACTGATCTTCTTTCCCACGCTTTCCCTTCAAGAAGGCTTTTCTTTCTCTGTCACACATGTTGTACTGCAGGCTACAATTCTTCCCTAGACCTTGTGCCAGGTATCCTCAGTTAGTTCCTCTAGAACCATTTGCCACCTTTTTCACCCTGCTTTTTGTCCCAGAAGGCTGACCTCTATAGGAAACCTAACAGGTTCCAGCTCAGTCTGGCCCCTTGGGATGGATCTCAGGAAGCAAAACAAAGGAGAGGAATGAAGTGAGGATTTTTTTTTATTCTCCACTTTTGCCAACTCAGGTTGGGTCTGTTCCTTGACCAAACTTTACTACTTCTCTCAAGGAGACCAACTGTATAGAATTTCCTCCAGCTACAGCAACCATTCTCTCTCCTCATGCCTTTAAGCTCAGGGGTTGCAGCAATGTTCTCTCGCTTTTTCCTGAGGTCCACTTACCGAGTTCCACACCCTTAAGAATAGTTTATCTTAATTTGAATGCAACATTCATCTCCTATTGCGACCCTGATTGATACAATCACTCTCAGGAAACCTAACGTAAATTTGACCAAATGGAAAAAAGGGAGCTTCAAACCAGAGTTTTAAAAGGTGAGACTTGTAGATGGTACACATCACAGTCATCTGGGATTTGATTAAAAGCAGATTCCCAGGCCCCTCTACCTCTGGAAGTAAGACTGCAGGGAGAAGTGGTTGGTATGTTAAATAAATTTTCAATTGATATCTAGACATATTAAAATGGGAAAACATGTCACAAGAATAGATAATTTTAAAAACACACTGCTAATAAAACTAAAGTTGAAAAGAAATCTTATCAAAGAACTAGAGCATTATCCTAATCTCCCACTAGGATTCTAAATGGTCTGCCAAATCTCTTCAGGAAGCCAAAAATAAAACTAAGAACACTAACACAACATAATGACTAGTGTAAAATTGGTCTTTCAGTGACTAAGAGACTTTCCCTCAGGATGAAAAAGTTCTTTAGAAGTATAACATAAATCTCAGAAGTCAACCATATAAGCATGAAACATTTCTGATGGAAAAATCATTATAAGAAAAATTAAAAGACAAGTAAGAAAAATATTTGCAATAAATAATCTAAGGAACTTAAAATGTTTTTTGAATCCCCCCCCCAATCCCAGTTTTAGAATTTTTTGGATGGGGAGGTGGGATATTTATAGACCTCTTTAACTTCACCGTAGCTGAAAGTCCTGCCTAATTCTTCAAAAACATCAAACTATATCTCAATTGTCTTCTCACGAGACACATAACAAGCAGCATAATGTTAATCAGCTTTCCATCACTATAATAAATACCTGAGACAATCAACTTATAAAGAGAAAAGGTTTATCTTGGATCACAGAACTGGAGGTTCCAGTCTATGACTAACATGGCCCCACTGGGTTTGGGCCTCTAGTGAGGTAGGACATCAGGGCAGGAACATGTGGTGGAATAAAATTGTTCACCTTATGACCAGGAAGCAAGGAAGAGAAGAGAAGAGAGTCCTACAATCCCCTTCAAGGGCACACCTCCAATGGCCTAAAAACTTCCCACTAAGATCCACCTCCTAAAGGTTCCCCCATCTCCCAATAGTGACACTCTGGAGAGCAAATTTTTACTATATGAAATTTTGTGGGACATTTAAAATCCAAACTCTAACAGCATATTTAATATGCTTAATTTTTCCCTGTCCATTTTTGTTTCTGTGAACATTAAATACACACACACACACACACACACACACATATAATGTTAAAGACCTTTATTTTATTCATTTGTTTGTATGCTGTGCTGAGAATCAAACCCAGTGTCTCACACATGCTAGGCATATGCTCTACCACTGAGCCACAACCCTAGTCTTGCTCTACCCATTTTTTTGGTGAAGACACAAGCAATGAAATAGTGTCCTATGACTAGAAAGGTAGAAAGGATAGACAGGGTGAAGGGGAGAAGTAGCGAAAGAGTTTAATAAATGAAAAACAAGTAAGTAACTCATTTCTTTGAATAAACCCGTTTTTCAGAACTTCAGGATTATCTTTAACATCAACTTTACTATTTCAAACATCATTAAA